CTTAGTAAAGACATCGAGTTCTATGCAGCTCATACAGGCAAAACATAAAATGTCTGAAAATAATGAAATAGTACACAAATTGGCATCATGTTTAACTAAGACTAGAATATTAAATTTTTCCAGGGAATGAATTCAGAATAAATCATTGAGGATGATAAATACAAATTGGAAAAACTTGCAAGTTTAACACTAAAAAATAAGGGAATATAGAGGACAGTACAACCATATGAGAATAACTGTTATAAGGAACCCATGGCCAGGCAGTGGTTCACACATTTAATGTAACACTTGGGAGGCTCAGGCCTTCAATCCTAACACTTGGGAGGGAGAGGCAGGCACATAAGAATTACAGTGACTTAAATTTAAAAGGCACTTGCAAAAGACAGACTGAAATTCAAAGTGAATATCGTTTGTGATCTAAAAATAAATACACTTAAACCTCGAACTTATAAAGAAAAAGGGGAAAATGGGTATATTTACCCACACATACTAAGATATATTTAGTTTCAAATTTTCAAAATAGTTTTTAAAATTTCAATTGGAAGATAATACTTTTTTCTGTTGCCAAACAAAACCAAAAAACCATTTTGCCCTAGGAAAGATATAAACTGCCAAAAAAATAACCCCTTAGAGTTAGGATGGGAGCAGGGTTTTGCTTTTATCTTTCCAGGAGAGTAAAATCATCTAAGTAAGGAATCTTGAGACCACTGGACCAGTAAAGCATCTAAAGAAAAAGAGAAAATGTCCCCCCAAAAAAGGGTAAATTGGCCAAGTAGTATCACCCACCTCCAGCTGACTGGTTTGAAATCGCAGCTCAGAGCTACAGACTAGCACCAATTTAAGCATCTGGCACGAGTAGCTGCCCCTTCCACTCAACAACCACCCAAGGTGCTGTTGGTGGTGGGGTGTCAACCCTGCTGAAGGGAGTGGAAGTGGGGAGGGGGCATGGCGGGACAACCACCACTCCTTTCTTTTTTCCGGCCATGCAGCAGGCCCATGGTGGATTCCCAGATGCTTGTCTCTGCTGCCCTCTACAGACATAAGTGGCAAATGAGCTTTAATGCTGTCCCAATTAAATTAAAAATTAAAGCTGGTTTTGGGGTTCTCTCATTCTCTAAACCCACTCGTGCTTGTTAAAGAAAAATCCAAAAATCTCTGTCTCATATCAGAAGAGCCACCTGGACAAAGGAAAACAAGAAATAAGGGACTGACTATTCTGTTGCCACTAACCTCACAATCTTTTGGCTTTGACTTGACTCTCTAAAACTTTCCTTAAGGCATAAATATTATCTCAAAGTCTATAAGATTATTATGTATATATAATTTTTCTGTTGTCACACATTATACCAATTTAGAAGTAATCTTCATCAAGCTCCCTGCACATGTTTTCAGGTTTCAGTCTGAAGCAAGTAACTAGGAACAAAGTTTGTGTTCCATGGATGTACTTGATAGATTATGGTCCTCAAACCTTTTAGAGATCTGCTGAATATAGCATTTAAAACGTTTAGGTTTTTCTACCATTCCTAACAGTAACCTTTGAGTTACTGTAATGACTAATCCACCTGGATTGTGGGAACGCTAACCATTGGACATAACTACCACATGCCTCTTCCATCACCAGGTTCTGGGCAAACAATGGACACCTTAGGGTTGACTGGTGTGTTCTACTTAGCCAGGATTGCCACTAAGCTGACAAACACCACCCAAAGGTCAGCTCTGGACTACAAACTGCTCTGAATTCAAATGGCTGAACTCATATGACGCAAACATTTTACAGAATTTAGAACTCCAAGATACTTAATCCTTACATTGTCAAATACAGTCAAGCTGGACATTGTAGGAAGCTTGGCAGAAACAGCTTCATTATGGTAGATATTTTTACTATATTATAGTTTAAAGTCTTTCCTTTTTATTTAGACAAAGGGGCCGGGGAATGTTGCAAGATTTGATCACAATGTGAACCCTGAGATTGTGTTGTTTACTGGAAAAATCTGTCTCTAGTTGTGGTGTGGCCCAGCCTTAGCAAACACGTTTAATCCAACAGCTTTCTGCTTGATTGTAAACAGGATTAAATAAAGTCAATCTTAGGTCAAAAGGCAGAGCAAGCAACCAGTTGACAGGAAGTGAACATAGGATTATTAAGGAAAAAAAAAGTAGAGAGTAAGAGAGAGTCAGGAGAGGTAGAGACACACAGGAAGGAGAAAGGAGGGGCCTTCAGTTTGAAGGAGGTTTTTTTGAGACTGTGTGAGAGAGGCCATTCCTGGTGAGACTGAGGAGGAAGGTCAGCTGGGTGTTTTCTCTGCCTCTCTGGACTATCAGGCTTTCATCTCAACATCTAGCTCCCAAACAATTGAGATTTTGTTTAAAAACAAAAACAAACAAACAAAAACTCAATTGCTATTGCAGAGGTCCTGAGTTCCATTTCCAGCACCCAGGTCAGGTGTCTCACAGTCGCCTGTAACTCCGGTTTCAGAGGGGAATCTGACACCCCTGGCCTTACTGACACCCTGGAGCTGGAGTTACAGGTGGCTAGATCTATATAACCTGTTTGATATAGGTGCTGGGAACTGGACTGCAGTCCTCTGCAAGAGCATACTAGGCTGTTAACCACCAAGACATCTCTCCAGCCCCTCCATCACACTTTTTGTTAAACTGTAGTTCCTTGATGGCTCCTTCCCTATCAGAGCATCAAAGCCAGAGTCTCAGGGTGAGCCGGAACTTAGAACTGCTCTAGAGTATCTTTGTCTTAACTTGTGGGTGACAGTTACTCTCCTGGTTGATCGTTGTTTGTCTCCACCTTCAGAAACCTCAGTTTTCCAAGTGACAGTTGCACTAAGAGAACCTCCTCAAACCAGCCTGCTATGATCCATGTCCTCGAGGAGGCTGAACAAGCACCTCAGTGTGTACTCCCTCCATGAGGGAGAGAGATCAGGCAGGAGGCACAGTTACACAGTTCACAATTTTATTTGGCCTAAATAAACACAACTGAGAACATCCGTTTCAGCGTCCCAAACACGACCTCTCCTCTAACACAGCACATTTTGCAGTGTCTGTTCACAGTTAGGTTCAGAATGATGTTTACTTGGGGCTGGCTCAGCTGTGAAGGTAATTAAACTTCTATCTTAGGCTTGTGTCTGGCCTGAATCCCCTCTAGGCTCCTGCCCATAGTTTGGATGTTTTCCAAACCTAGTTTCCTTATAGGTTTATGTGCTGGAAGCTTAGTCCCTGGTGTAGCAGTGTTAAGATGATGTAACCCATAAGAGATGGATTGCATTGGAGGGAACTAAAGCAAGGGGGTGTAGTGGGATATTCCATAAGTTGGGAGGGGTAAGGAGAGGAAGGGGAGGAGCTAGGAGAAAGGGATAAGAGAGAAAGGGGGGGAGGAACGTGGGAACATGGAAGCAGACGTGCGCATGTCTCTAGCAGTCAAAGGTAGTTGATATATCTAGGTTGAGCATTGGGTTACACTTCTGATTGTGTGGGCATCTTGTTATTGAGTATTACCAAATATATAAAGCCTTTGGATAATCTAAGCATTAGAGTCTCATTCCTACTGGGCCCACGTGGATGGCGGGATGGTCTGGGCTCAGCTTGCTTGATGAGTAGATATACCAAGGCTGTGTATTTCTGCAATATATAATTCTCAAATTTTATTTTATTTATTTATTTATTTATTTATTTATTTATTTATTTATTTATTGGTTTTTCGAGACAAGGTTTCTCTGTGTAGCCCTGGCTGTCCTGGAACTCACTCTGTAGACCAGGCTGGCCTCGAACTCAGAAATCCGCCTGCCTCTGCCTCCCAAGTGCTGGGATTAAAGGTGTGCGCCACCACCGCCCGGCTCAAAACAAATTTTAGTATCAAGATAATTTTTTATTTGAATTCTGGAATCTAGTCTTCTGGTGGCCTGCCTCTGTCATGTCTAATCCATATAATTCTGGGAGGTAGAAACATCTTAATTGTCTCTTCTGAAAACACACAGATAAAACCTTTTTCCCAAAACAGTATATCCTTGAACCAGTAACCAGAAAAACCTTTATCTTGACCTCTTTGGGGGTCCTGCCCTCATGGATTCATGCCGCTCCCCAGAATCACTATCTTCAGTGGCTTGTCTCACATGATCCTGCCTGCACGCTTCCCCCGCCATGTACTGCCAGCTACCGTCAAACCCCAGGAAAGCTGAGCATAGGCTGGTTCCATGTTCTTAATCTTCTAGAACTGTGAGCTTATATTAATTAAAAATAGTTCTTTGTTTGTTTTTGTTTTGTTTTTTGAGACAGGGTTAGCCCTGGCTGTCCTGGAACTCTCTCTGTAGACCAGGCTGGCCTCGAACTCAGAAATCTGCCTGCCTCTGCCTCCCAAGTACTGGTATTAAAGGCGTGCGCCACCACTGCCTGGCTCATTTTTTTTTTCATAAAGTACTCAGCCTTATATATTTTGTTATATAATAACATAAAGAAAATTAGAACTGACCTCGGTAGCAAGATTGGAAATCAAGTATAAGTGCCTGCCACCAAGCCCTATGACCTGAATTTAATCACCAGAACACACATGGGGAGAGAGAAAACCAACTTCCTCAAGTTATCCCCTGATCTTCACATGTATACTGTGCTGTGCATACACATGCACACAAAATAAATAAATGCAGTGTAATAAGACGGGCCCTGACTTGGTGGGGGGTGGGGGGAGTTGCTGCTGAAGCACCTGCCTGCCCTGTCTCTCCAGTCTGCAGCTAAGAACTCTGTGGCTGTGAGTTCCAGCCTTTGTAGAAAGCTTTGTCCTCTGGTAACCATTACCATTTCTAGCTTCTAACCCTGGATGTCATTTCTCCAGGGGAACAGGTGAAACTGAGACAAAGCTAGTTAAGTAGATAGGAAACAGTGTCCCTTAACCCTACCAGAGGCTGAATGAGGGAAGAAACACGGGCTTCTCCTCAGTTAATTTCTAGGGCCTTGACCCATGAAAAAAGCTAAAAGTATGTCTTCTCTTTCAGCTGAGGTCAGAGGTTTGGATCCATATTCTCCAGATCTGAGTTTGCCTCTTCATCGTCTTGGGATTCCTAGGTCAGAACCAGAAAGCCAGTCACAGGTTTGTGCCAATCTCCAGGGCCATAGCCTGAAGACCAACACCTCTTTCCTTCTGCCTCCACCCAAAAGGAGTCAGAAAGGTTCACTGCTATGCCTCCTTCTGAGCCTGCCCATACCCGGAAGGTTCATCTTTAGGTGACTCCTTACCAGACTGAGGCCCCTGCACTGCCTCAGGGTGGCATAGAAGTGCAGCACTCGGGAGTCACATCGAACCACCGTGGGGTCAAAGTCCAGTACACGTAGACCCTCGAGGCTACGGGCCCGGGAAAGGGCCACGTAGGCTTGACCACTGGCAAACACACGGCCCAGAGTGATCTCCACACAGTCCAGAGACATGCCCTGGGTGATGAAGGAAGAGTTAAAGCCAACTTTGCCTGAAGTCTCTTACATTTAAATGACTTTCACCGACCCAGCTACTGTGCCTGGATGGCCTCGTTCATCCAGAGTCTTTTTTTTTTTTTAAAGATTTATTTATTATGTATACAGTATTCTGCCTGCATGTATGCCTACCAGGCATGTAGAGGGCAATAGATCTGATTGTAGATGGTTATGAACCACTATGTGGTTGCTGGAAATTGAACTCAGGACCTCTGGAAGAGCACTTAACCACTGAGCCATCTCTCCAGCCCTCATCTAGGGTCTTAAACATAGGAGAGCTTGAGGAACAGAGTGAGAGAAAGAGCTCAGACAATGGTCAAACAGGTACAGGGCTAAATCTGTACAGAGCTGAATTCTGCCTCTCCCCTAGCTGTGACATGCAGGAAGCTTTCTCAGCATCCTTGTTTTCTGCCTGTGGATCACCAACTATTACCAGTTGTATCTACGCTCCCTATGGCTGTTAACCTGTTCTGGTCATGATCAGGAAGTGGCAGAGGAGGGTCTAGAAAGGGAGAGAAGAATGTGGAGTAGGAAATACACTAAAGAAGAGTATAGCCTGGCAGTGACGGCGCACGCCTTTAATCCCAGCACTTGGGAGGCAGAGGCAGGCGGATTTCTGAGTTCGAGCCCAGCCTGGTCTACAGAGTGAGTTCCAGGACAGCCAGGGCTACACAGAGAAACCCTGTCTTGAAAAACCAAAAAAGAAGAAGAAGAAGAAGAAGAAGAAGAAGAAGAAGAAGAAGAAGAAGAGGAGGAGGA